TTCTATTTTTTTTAGTAGAGACAGGGTCTTGCTCTTGCTCAGGCTGGTCTCGAACTCCTGAGCTCAAATGATCCACCCGCTTCGGCCTCCCAAAGTGCTAGGATTACAGGCGTGAGCCACCGCACCCAGCCGGGACCCTGTCTCTTTAAATTAAAAATAAAAACAAAACTCCAGTGTCTAAATCAAAATATCCGTTGACATTGGAAGAAAGCAGAAAGATACCATGCAGATTATGGTAGTGAAAACATGACCTGGCATTTGGGAAAGAAATATATAGAATTGTGAGATGTATTGAAAATTATTTTTGGAGCTTGGAAAAGATTCAGCATATACTGAGGAATAGATCATACCTCCCAGTTTGATTTGATTTCCCTGAGGCACCTAGCAAGAGATTCGAATCTCTTTGGCACAATTTTCAGGCGTACTTACTATATGCCAATGGGGTGATCTAGACGACCTTGTGGACCCTCTCACCTTACGTTTCTGTTTTTTCAATCCTTACTTGTGAGTTAACACTCTGTTATGATGGTCACTTCCTAATTTTGCTTTTTAATTTGTTTGGACCAATTTAATGTAAAAGACTTCATAAAACATCAAAAGATTGTCCCATTATTTGCAGAAATTCAAAAAATGGATATAACAAATTTAACTAGTTACATTGTCTTATGGGAATTAGCCTTGGTTACTTTGCTTTAGGCTTTTTCTTTTAGAGGGAATCTCCTTTTGAGTAATTAGAACTAAGCATTTATATAGAAGCAGCTTAAAAGAGGTGTATTTTGTTTTTAGACAGGAAGTGTGTTTCTGAAAAGCTGTATGGGGGAAATCTTTGACGTTAATTATATTTTTCCAATGAACTTACATGAAAAAATTCTTAAAACAGTGATAAAAGATTAGATAGAACTGTATCTAAATGGTAACAATAGTTGTCTTTGGTTTATTTTTTTCATCCAGTATCTTTTCAGATTTTCTATAGTGAATAGATACCACTTGTAATAATGAAATGAAATTATGTGATTGGAATAAAGCACTTGGAAAACGTCAGGGAGTTTTGCCACTGCCCTCTTTCTCTCTTCCTTCTAGATATTTTTAAGTCTACTTCAGTTTCCCTAAAGAAAAAAAGATTGATTAGTACCATAAAAGTCTCCTTTTTTTTTTTTT